AGCAGAGGATGAAGGATGGGGGAGAGGAGGGAGCAGAGGATGAAGGAGGGGGGAGAGGAGGGGAGCAGAGGATGAAGGAGGGGGAGGGAAGCAGAGGATGAAGGAGGGGGGAGAGGAAGGAAGCAGAGGATGAAGGATGGGGGAGGGGAGCAGAGGAAGAATGTGATCGAAGTTTGTTAGGCAAATGGATGAAACTATCATAATGGAAACCCATTTTTATATGAGAAAAAGTTCTGAAAATAGTTAAAGCAAATATAGTACTTTTCAAAGTTGCTTTGAGTATGGAGTGAGATCTTCCTGGTTTCTAACCCATAAGAGACATGAGGGAATTGGGCCTGATGAACAGAAAGAATTCAGACTTCACAGTGAAAAGAATCAGTTCTGGCTCACCATATTGCTGTGTGCCCTTGGTCAAGTTATTCAACATAGTTTTCTAAGTCTATTTTTTCTCTGTGAAATGCCTTTAAAGTTTCAAAGAACAAATTAAATAACATTTGAGAAGCATCTGCTTTTGGCAAGCATTTATGAATCGAGAGACAGAGGCCTTCCAACTCTTGGAAATTGCTCTAATTAGGAGACTGAAATACTCAATTTATGAATTTAAAAATGAGTAGAGAGATTGCAGCCTCTGAGAACCAAGTGCCTTGTTCCTAGTAGATCAGAGAGGCTCCGGAATCTGAAGGATGGCTCCAGCAACGTCACCGGTTAGTGGCAAACAGGGAAGAGAGCCAAGTGTTCCTGGTGGAATAGGCTTGTGTTGCTCACTAGACTGGCGATGATGATGTTAAGAATGAGGGTAACTCTGGCTTTACGTCACCTCTGATAGTAATATTACTAGACGACAAAACAAAACTACTTTTTCTTTCTGCAAATTTGTTTCCAAACTTCCATGAAATTATCCCACAAGAGCTGGTGGGAGCTGGTGAAGCCTATTTTCTGAGAAGAGGATCTACAGGATTCCTGATTCTTTCTCCCTCCTTCTAGAAGCAAGAGAACTGGGGGAACTCGGGTCTCAGGAGGCATCTCCCACTCCTCCTCTCCTCAGGGATATCAGTTCTTCCCTCCCGTGTAAGAACATCCCAGCCTCAGCAGGGGCGGGAAGAGGCCGCAGTTCTCCATGTGGCTTCTTTACTAACATGGAAACACAGATCAACATTGTTTCAGCTTGAAGGCCTTGTACAGAATAGGAATGCAATAAATGTATCAATGCAGAGTTCAGTTGTATGTTCAAAAGGATAAACAAACATGTTTCAGGATTAAATCTTGCCCAAGGCATGAAAGAAAATATTAACTTTTAAACAGTTTCAAGTTAAAAATAATAATAAAAAAGTTCCACTGTTCCAGGTGCAAGGTAAGGATGGGATAGAGGGAGGTGCATATGAGATGTATTATAACTATTGTTTTATAAATATATTATTAAAAGACTAGCCTAAAGGAGGTACCCAATGTGAAGGTAGAGGCTTCTCATCACTGAAAGGTGAGGTCCGCAGATAGCACTCTAGCAAATTCCTCACTGTGATTTTAAACTTTTCATTCTGATGTTACTGCAGAGCATTCACAATTATTATTTTGAAAACTCTCCTTCCTCACTTTCCTGCTTAGCTTTGGTCTGACATAGGAATAAGCCACGTTTCAGTCCTACAGCCTCCAGGTCAAAGTCTCTCCCTATTTCAAAGCCTCGGTTTCTTCTTCTGTGGGTGGTTCCCTCTCGAAGATGGAACCCACTCACCACAGCATCTGGCCCACAGTGGCTCTGCAGTGGATACCATCTTCCTACCATGGCACACTTTACCACTTTGGAGACTTTCACTTTAAACAGGCATAAAAAAAAGAAAGAAAAATGAATTTCAGGGAGGAAGAGCATAAACTATTGTACAAGCACGTGTGAGAATTCTATTACTAACAATGGCTGGTGCTGGATCTCTGGACAGCATTTTTCTTAAGTCTATTTCTTCTCCTTTCTCATCTCCTCCCATGACTTACAATAGCACAGACAGAACAGTCATTAGCGTCAGAGCCTTTTCATAGGAAACATGCCGATTTCTAGGGCACCCATACCTCCTTACTCAACCTTTTTTCAAGACTTTTTTTTTTTTAAATCAGAGTACTTCATTTTCAATACTGGATAAAATTTATGTGCTTACTGGACTGAGCCCCCAAAGTCCAGTTGAAGAGCGGGAGGAATGAGAATATGAGCAAAGAGGTAAAGACCATGATGGGTTCACCCACTGAAACAGTCTACCTGAGCTAATGGGAGCTCACCAACTCCAGCCAGACTGGGAAGGAACAAACATAGACCCAAACTAGTCCCTGTGAATGTGGCTGACAGCTGCATGGCTGGGGCAGACTGAGGGGCCACTGGCAGTGGCACCAAGATTTGTCCCTACTGCATGTACTGGCTTTTGGGGAACCTTTTCTCTTTGATGGATACCTTGCTCAGCCTAGATATAGTAGGGAGGGCCTTGCATCTTTCACAAAGCAACGTGCCTCACCCTCTCTGAGGACTGGATGGGTGTGGGGTGGGATGGTATGTGGAGGGAATGGGAGGAGGAGAGAGAGTGGGAACTTGGTTTGGTATGTATAATGAAAAAAGACTTTTTTTTTAAAATTACGTGCTTGAGTAATTTCTACATCCTTGGCTTGCAGCAATGGCCATTTTGGGAAGCGACTTGGGTGCCTGTCCCATTTCTGTCACATGCAACAGTGTAACTAACCCTTAAAACTTTATTTGAGTTCACTGTTTTTCTATGCTAAATAGGTCAGACAATCCTTTCAGCTTGAAAATTATTAACAGTTCTTTGACTGTATCTATGTCTGTGCACCATGCGTGTGCTTGGTGCCTGCAGAGGTCAGAAGAGGGTGTCAGACCTTCTGGAAGTGGAATTACAGATGGCTGCAAACCACTGTTGTAGGTGCTGGGAATCCACAAGGTCCTCTCCAAGAGCAGCCAATGCTCTTAACGGCTGAGACATTTCTCTAGTTTCTTTTGATAATGTATCTATACACAGAACAACCAGACAGTGAACTAGGCAATCCCATCTTCAGTGGGAAATACTAACATGTCTTTGTGACATGGTAGCTTCTTCTAAAGTTTGGGCAAGGGCTCTGTCCTTGCTCAGGACTGCCAGCCTAGAATATTCTCCGGGCTCAGGATAGATACTCTCAAAAAGGTTGTATTTAGCAGAAAGAGTTTAACGAGGGGAAAACGACCACCTTCTCACTGGAAGAACTTTTCCTTGTATTTCTTTGGAAGGAGAGAAAGGAGACAGCAACGCACCATGCTTTTAAAACCGGAAGGACAAGGAGAGCAGGGAAGGAAGCAACACAGGTGCTCTGGAAGGGGGGGCACGAGGGTCATTATGTAGAGCCCTGTGTCTCAGGAAAAACACCACTGGAGGGAGGACAGAGGGAAGAAAACTCCGCCCGCCTGCGCTGATATTTTTATCCAGGTGAATCTCGTTTAAGAAAACTGGAGGCAGAAGGGGAAGCGGGAGCAGAAAAGGAAAGGGGAGAGCTGGCCTGCCTTGGCGGCTGTGTGTGGGATTTACAGGCTGACACTAATTGTATTTTACTGCACGGATGCCACCTCTCCCCTGTTGTCCTGGGCTTCTACAGCTGTGCTTATCAGGTCCTCAAACTGCCTCCTCCTGCCTCCACCTCTGCAGGGCATCATCCTGCCTCTCTGTGGCTTAGAAGTGGGGCGGACTTGGGATAATCACGGCAATGAGGAAGATGTGTGCACACTACCTAATACCTTAAGGGAACCCGGGCGAAGCGGGTAGAATGTACTCCCTGGAATTTTCCAGATAGCTGCCATTAAGCCAATACTGAAATGATAACTATTTTGATTGAGTTCATGCAGACAGTTCAGAATGTAGCCAAGACTAGAACAAAGGAGCAAAGGCCACACAACCGAGGCAAGAGCAATTTAACACTGATAGTACCTGTAGGTACTGGCAGGACCGCTCCTGTTGGCAAGCTTCAGACTTCACCATGGCCTGGTCCATATTCACCGAGGCTTTCTGGTAAACCTCTCGGGCTCTGCTCACGGTGAGAGTGGAGGACCAGGCACTCTTCTTCAGAAGCGGGGCATCCAGACTGACTACCGGCAGGTTAGCACAGGAGCACTTGACATCATTGTTACTCCGGGAGGCCTTCACCGCCTGCTCGCTGATGGTGTTGTAGGCTTCCATGAAGTACTGCGAAGCCGAGCGGTCGGGGCACCTGCCCATGGTCATCACACCCGAGGGCGTGTGGTAGAGGCACATGTCGCCATCCAGGTTGTCATCTGAGCTCCACCAGCTGGGAGAGGTTGGGGAAGCGTTGGAGGCATTGGATCTGGCTTTGGACTCTGACCGCCTCTCCTTGCTCTTGCTTCGCTTGCCGTATCTCACAGTTTGCGACTCGTCGGGGCTGGCTTTGCCTCCATTGACGCTCCCTTTGGACGGCCCCTCCAGGGAATGCGACTTGGTGAAGAGCTTCTGGACCGAGTGGACCAGGTGGCGGATGCGGCCTGGGCTATCGCTACGATGCTCCACAGCGGTGCGCTTGTACTGGAGTGTGTGGTAACCATCCCGGCTGAGGGGCAGCTGCCTTTCAAATTGATCTAACAGGTTGGCCGGGATGCGATTGGCCTTGGTGGCCAGTGTGCGTGGCACCAGGGCACTCTCGTCCTTCAGCTCCTGTTGCGAGGTGTAGTGCCTGCGTGGGAACGTGCTGCTGGCCAGCGGGTCGCTGAAGGGCCCCACACACTCGGCCTGGAAGGAATTCCGCTGGGTGTAGTAAGGATGGTCCGCTGGGTGGTGGTCCACGGGGCTCAGCAAGTAGGGCTTGTGGTCCGAGTGGTGTGCCAGTGAGTCACAGGCCGACTCGCAGGTGATCCCGTGGTGGTGGCTGCGGCTACCCGATAACCCTTTCATTGCTGACCGGAAGCAATCGCAGGGGTCATGGGAACCCCGTTAAGTTCCAGACCCGTCTTGGGAAAAAACCTGAGGGATGAAGAGCGAGATAACGGAGTTAGCGTTTTCCTTGGTATAGGTATACTGTTCTTTCTGTGGCTACACGCTCCTGCTGGGTTTCTGAGGAACTTAGGTCTGTGCCTAAAAGCGGCTTTCATGCATTGTTGGAAAGGTTTTTCTCACCTTTGTGAGGGCGGGAGGAACTCAGGGACAAGGAAACTATTAAATGCAACCTTACTGTTGCTTTGTGTTCTGAGACAGAATTGCTACTCAGCCCAGGCTGGAGTGCTCCATCCTGCCTCAGCTGGAGAGATGGATCACAATGGAGTACTCCCATACCGGGCTGAAATTGTTTCCAAGTTCTTTGACACAGTAACTGTTTTTCCTTTATGAGCCCAGGAGCGCAATGTATCTTTCCCCTGCTTTTCTGCTTTCCTTCTTTACATGACTTAAAAAAGATACTCTATTATGTTTAGATGTGGGAGTACATATATAGGCATGTGTTGATGCCAGTTGAAACCAGAAATTTGGCATCCTCTGGAGGGTAAGATACAGGTGGTTGGGAGCTGCCTAAAATCAAACCTGGGGATTTTACTAAGCAGCACTTAGCCTCTGGCCCCAACTCTTTACAGGTTAATCACAAACGCAGAGCATCCAAAGGGCTGGGTTTATGTGCAAAGCCCTACCTGGCACCCATAAGCAGAGAGAGATGCTATGGTCTTGTGATTTTGTGACATCTCATATGTACTTTCCAGAAATCACAGTATTGTTTGCTTCTGTCTCTCCCAGCTAAAGTTCCTTGCAGCCTGGCTTAATGCTTCCTCCCTTGTATATCTTCCTGTTATCAACAAACTATTACTACAGGCACAAAGAAAGCATTCTGTAAGTGGGATTTAAAAAGACAAGATGAACAAAGAAGCCGGTAGCAATTAAACCATGTGGATATAACTTTGTATCATTCTGTCCACCATCACTTTCTGTTTGAAATTCTGTAGGGATAAATATAGTACCCAAACATATCAAGGTTAAATACAACTATGTATTTGTGTATTAATAAAATTAATGTTAAATACAAGCCCACATATTAATCAGCTACAGAGAGCAAGACCAATAGCCTGGAGAAACAGGGAAATTTGTCCATGTATTTCTGTTCTCAGATCCAAGCGTCCTGTAAACAAAGTAACAAAATGCATTGACTGAGTCTCAAGTCATGCCTTCTGGTTGCCATGGTTTGGATCCTAAAGAGCCCCCAAAGGACAGTGTGTTGAGGGCTTGCTTGGCTGGTAGCCTGCAGTGTCATTGGTGGGCCATGGATACTTTGGTAGATGGAGATTCTGGGAGATACTGCGATCTAGGCTCCTTTTCGCTCTTGCTCTTTCTAAGTCCTGGCTGCTGTGGGGTAAATAGGCTTCCTCCGACACACATTTCTACCATGGTGTGCTTCTCCATCACAGGTCCCAACCGACAGGGCGAAGTGAGCTAGCACATCACCTCTGCAAGACCAGGAGCCCAAACAAATCCTTTCTTTAAGTCAGTTGATTTTCTTGGTTGCTTTGCCACAGTGGAGGAGGGCTAACTGGTTTAGTTTTTTGTTTTTGTTTTTCTTTCCTAAATGTTCACAAGGAAAGCAGAATGACAAGAGGTTGAGAGGCTCTTGGCCCCAAGGATCTGAATAGAAGACTCTGGACCTCATGATCTACGTACCCTGCAGGAGATCGTACCTGAGCTCAGGTTGTCCCAAGCTCTGGAAACAGTCTGTGGCTCCAGCAGGGAACTTGATTTTCCTCTGACTTTAACACAGTGTGCTCTTCAGGACCTGGCTGGGGTCATCCCGACAGTCTGCTTAAAACCTTTTGTTTTTCTTAAGCTTCCTACAGTACAAAGATTGTCATTTTAAGCATTGTTCTGGAAAGCGAATTCAAAAATGTCATTTCACGTTTTCACCCACGGCAAGACAAATGGCTGGTGAGCACACCGGGTAGGCTGAAATGCATGTGCCTGGCCTCATGAAGAAAGACAAGGACTTTAGGGAGGTCAAGGCTTGCCTGTTCCAGAGGACACACGGCATTTGTGAGCTCATGACAATACTGATGTTTTTATACCCCCCGAAGCCCCCTGAAGCTCCTCACTCTCTCTATATCCCCCCGAAGCTTCTCAATCCCTCTCTTTTCCCCTGTCTTTCGCCGCTCAGGATTGTACCTGGTGCCTTGAACATGTTAGGTAAGTAATCTCTCCCATTTCATGGCTTAACAGTTCAAAACTACTGATGAGAAATTTTAACCACTGGTCTTTTGAAATTGGTTAGTCTACTGAAGGAGGGCAGCGGAGACTCAGTTCGTCTATCTAGTCTCAAGCACAGTGTAAATGCTTAATCATTGATAATGCATGCATGCAGAATTTTCCCGGAGGGTCCATACTGCGATTCAAGTAACTTCTGCTGACAATGTGACAATATGGCCATACAGGGAAGACTGGGTGTAGGGATAAGTCCCACCCCTTAGGGGGCGTGTCCGCCTCAGGCTAAAGTTTGCCTATAAATTTGGCGAGCGTGCTCCCAGCGCTCGCTTCTGCTTTCCTGGTCTCCGTGGGAACGGTGGTTCTGTAAGTCTATTCCTCCATTAAAGCTGTCTATATTTTGACAATCTGTCTGCATTCGCTTACGCCGTTACAACTGGGGGAGCATTCCCCTGGCATGAAGGAATCGGCGGGTTCAGCGAGGCAGAAGATGGCAGGTGAGTCATACTCTCGCACCTCTAACATGTCTGCTTCTGTCTCATCAGGTACCCTGACTTCTACCTGCCTGGAAGTTAAAGTCTGGGAACTTTCTCTGGCCCAAAGGATATCCACACAAAGATGGTATGTCTGGAGGAGAAAGAGCGCGGGCACGCGCGCAAATGACACAGGCATTTAAGACTTATGATAGACGTGGACCAGGAAAAGCCTGTGAATAAAATCTTCCCCTGGAGAGATCCTAATAAAAAGGGAAACCCTAGGGCAACCCTTTTATGAACCTGGGACGGTAGCAGCAGACTACAGCAGGAAAGGATCTAGAGGGGTTAAATTTACATCTTTTTTTTTTAAAATTATACTTTTTTTAGATTTATTTATTTATTATGTATACAACATTCTACCTCCATGTATGCCCGCACGCCAGAGTAGGGTGCCAGATCTCATTACAGATGGTTGTGAGCCACCATGTGGTTGCTGGGGATTGAACTCAGGACCTTTGGAAGAGCAGCCAGTGCTCTTAACCGCTGAGCCATCTCTCCAGCCCTTAAATTTACATCTTTAGCAAAGCTACGGTGCAAGCTGACTTCTGAGAAACCTCTCTATTAGCCATGGTTTTGTTTTTTTCAGATATGGACCCAACAGTAAGAAAGCTAAGGAAACACCTAGGTGGTGGAGTGCGTGCTGAGCACGGGAGAGAATTCGGCTTCAGTCTCCGTACTGTGGTAAATAAATAAATGTACGCAAACAAGCTAAAGAGGGGACAGTGCTGGAGGCCTATACACATCTATGCGTTTTAGGACTATACTGAATTGCTTCTCGACATACAAGGTAACTGAGACAGGGCTTCAAGCGTGGCTTCTGAAGCAGCTGAGTCTTGGATAGATATTTGTACTAAATCAAATGTGAAATTGGTAAGATCAGAAAACAAGGATTTGCTCTAACTTGTACAATATTATTTCTATCAGGTAGTCAGTGATCATCTTAATACATGAGCAACATTTTATGGGATATGGTAGTACCTGAGGGCAGGCAGAAAAAAATGAAGAGTCCTTTTATGACTATCAATGGTGAATTACACTGCATGATGTACACAATGATAATTTATGTAAATTAAACATATACAGTATGATATTAGCTAAACTTTAAGTGGGCTATTTTCATCACAGTGACAAGTACCTAAACCTTCCAAGCGGCCAACAAATTTCATCAGGACTGAATGTAGTCTCTCACTTCTTCCTTCTTACTGCTTGTGGAGGGACATTGAACTTGTCATTTTCCTTTGTGTCAGGGGATTCCTATGGGCCTTGACCTTCACAGAGTGACATATCAGATGTCCTAATATCAGTTATTTACATTACGAGTCACAGCAGTAGTAAAATTACAGTTATGAGGTGGCAATGAAATAATTTTATGGTGGGGTCACCACAACATGAGGAACCTGTATTAAAGGGTCACAGCATTAGGAAGGTTGAGAGACTCAGCTCTATGCCATGGTAAATTAAGTCATAATATTGGCACTATACTATCATAAATGTTTTTTTTTCTTTCTGGTTAAGGTCAAAAAAGATGGTCAGCTTGGCTCTTTCTGTAGAAGATCTCACACTGCCTTTTATCCTCTTTCCATTTTAAAAGGAAAATTGATCAATTTGTGGTTAGAAATCACAGCAGCACACTTGGCCACTTCCTGTTGAGCAAGACAGATGACGTCACATGCTAATGTCAAGGACCATGGATAGATAATTGTGGCCGATACCTACCATGGAGATCTTGAGTTCTCTTTCCTCATGCTTCATACCCTCCTTTTTCTAGCACACCTCTCTCCATGACTCCTGTTTATTGCCCTCCTAATTGATGTTTATAAGTGGCATCCATGGACAGCACTATCTCCCACCCGTGGTGTGGCCAACAGCATCAGTATAAAGCATTAGTGGAGCACCGCTCATGTGCAAAATCTAGGGCTTGCTGCTGCAAACATGACCAAATGCACACAGAGAATCCTTACTGAAGGGGTTATGATTTTCTCAGAAAAATATGACCGAGGCATGCATGAGAAAAACCTAACTCACGAGTCTCTTCATTTAATACAGTCTTCAAGAAGGAAGTAGTTGAATTAGGTTTCAATGGGCTGTAACAATTTCTAAAAATAGAAAGGGGGAACTGGCTCTTTTGCCCTTCTCTCTGAGCAAGGCTGTGGAGTGTGGTCAACACGTCTCTGGGAATGTTTCTATGGCTACAGTGATTGCATCTGATTCTTTCTTGTTCACTACGACATCAAAATTATTCTTTGTTGTCCTCTAGGTTCAATTTTGCCATCAGATCGCGTGTCCTGATGCCTGCCTTGGAGAATTTGCGGCTCTACTGGTGACCGTGAGATGAGCTGACTGTGGCAGGCGCATTGTTTTTACTGAGTCCCTGTACCTGGTGCAGGATGGTGGCACAGAGGATGACTGAAGCCAGAACGGTTAAGCACACAAAGGAAAATCTCTAGGTAGGTAATGTGCAAGACCCAACGCAACACACAAACAAACTACACATCAGAAGATGCTGACAGGGGAAGATATCCCCAAAGCAGATAAAAGCAGGTGATCCCCTTATTTCCTCCGTTTCGTTTTGATTTCTGTGCACGTCTTTATTTAGAGCTCCTCCTGTTGGGTTTCTTTTACATGCAGAGAAGCGTCAGCTAAAGGCCTTTGGTCGCCTTCCTCGGGGTAGCGTTGGCAGGCAAGCAATCACAAACTGTGTCACCAACAATGTGGGGGAGCTCCTGCCCAGAGTGTCATGCTCTGGCTGAGGACGGCAATGGGGCAAGGCGATCTTTATGGATTCTTCCGGGGTCAAACTACCTTTCTGGCTTTGCTCCATCTGCCTCTGACTTTCTCATGCCAGATTATCACATTGAAATGAGAAGAGATAAAAGATTCTCTTATCAAAAAAAGAACAACCTAGCCCTTGAATAACGACCACACTTCCCAGTTGTTGAGCAGAGCTGACTAATTCTGACTAATGGAATATAATTAGAAATGGCACGTGCAATTTCTGGAAAAGATCTCAAAAGTGAAGTTCTCTTTTCCCTTCCTCTGGCTGGAATGCAGATCCGAGGGCCGGTTAAGCAAGTGATCTCATACCACGATATAAACACTGTGTATTGAACATGGTAGAACACACACACAAAAAAATAAATAAATAAAAGATGTTCTCACCACGGTGGAGTGCCATGCCACCTAGTATCTTGTTCCTGTGAGAGGAAACTGACTTGTGTTTGGTTTGCAGCTCTGTTCTGCTTCCTTGGAAACCAGTTCCTGGATGAGATGGAGCAGCTGAGGCCCAGTCGCAGAGGCCACAAAAGCAGCCATGCCATGATGGAGAACCACACCTTGCAGGTGGGGGCACTCCACTTGAAGAGCTAAGAAAGCTAGTGGCGTGGCATGACTGTAGGTGTCCGAAAGATTTCTGTGCTTGTTCCCAGGGAATAAATTGAGGTAAGGTGGACGAGATGGTCCAAGGGAGCAATTATTTCACGAGAGAAGAAAGAAGGGAGAGGAAGGAACAGCCTGAAGGAGCATTGGTGATGTACTGACTAACTGGGTGTTTCCCCAATTTCTGGTCTCTTAGCCAGATAGGGATGTTCCGATCACAGCCTGAACACATCCCGCACCTCTTCTAGAACGAACAAAATACCCGAGGTGGAGGATCCAGCTTTCTCTAGCATTTTTTTTTTTAATTTACTTAAAATAAAACCTGGTTCCATGGGCAGCCTCCTAACCTGTGAAGTAAAGAAACTCCCTTTTAAAATGAGTACCCCATAATGTCTTTCATTATAGTAACAAAGAGGACCAGTACACTTAAAGGCACACAGGCATTAGTGGGGCCCCTCGGAGTACACACCGTGCGAAATACCCCAATTGTACTATTCAAAGCGCAACGCTGAGCCGCTCTGTGCGTACAGAGTGTACTTTGGCTTCTCGTTACCATTAATTGCCATCCCGATCACCTGCAGGTTGATTTTGCGAATACCTCTTTGAATCAGGGGCATTTCTCTCTCGAGAAGATTTGCTATTGTATAAGAGAAACAAAACAAACAACCGAAGCCTTCTCCAATTTAGTCACAGTAGGCACCGAATCACAGTAGCCTCCCAAAGCTTGCAAAAGGCGGTGTTGTACCAACCAGCTTTCGAAGACTCAAACGGAGGGGACGTCCTCGAGAAAGGCTGGGGGGTGGGGCATCGTTAATACCGCTATGGTCTTGGTGCTGTTTGGGCACAACATCGCAGAGACTGGTAGAAGATTTTTATGTAATATGCCACATTTCTTTGGGCTAGATGGAGGGAACGGTGGCTGTCTTCACTGTGAGGAAACCAGGGCGTATACTCCCTGTGTGTCCACTGTTTTCTGTTTCCGCTGTCTCTCCAGGGCAGAGCTGATTTAGTGGAGCCTGCAGATGGATGCCCCGAGAGGGAGGCAGGAGAGTGTGATCGCCTCGATCACCAGCGGTCAACAAATGTTCTTCCCAGAGATACTGAAGGGAAAGGAACACCTCATCTTCCGGGGTGCGGCTGCTTCCGCGTATTGACAGGGGAAGACTAAAAACCATCAGCATCTTACTAAAAAAGTTGAGAAAAACTTGCGAGCTACTGTTTAACCGAGAACGAAGAGCAGCGACAGATTAGCACGGTTTTGTGGGATACAAGCCAGCTGTGAGGGAAGATGGGAAGGCTGCAAAACAATGACAGCTAAAGCAACGCAACAATGCAACTTGGGAACAGCAGTGGAAAACAACCTCTGATAATAACGCAGTTATTTTTGTCTGTATTTCTCATAACTAGCTAAAGAGTCTGGCGAGCATGTTCTGGCATATTCTAGACGAGCTACTTCACAGTTAGAACACACACACACATACACACATGCACGCATACCCACCCACCCTCTGAATCATGTTTTCTTTTATAATTTCTTCTCTTAAAAGCAATTGTGCTTGCCTTACAGAGCTTGTAACACAATTCTTCTATTCAAAGCAATTGCTTGCCTTCCAGAGCTTGTAACGCAATTCTACTCTCCTGAGTTCTGAGGCCTCGGAGTACCTGCACGGAGGTCCTTTTGTGGTAGTCATTCAGTCAGCAGCTGCACTTGGGAATTTTCTGCTACCCACAGCATCTGCTGAGGACACCCTGGCTGGGTTCTGTTGAGGCAATCACCACGTTTCCCGAGCTGACTGGGCAGTTTGAAAACCAAACTCAAGGACGTTTGTGCAGAAGCTTAATTGAGCGAGCCAGATGTTTCCTCTAGAGAGTCAAATGGAAATATTTCACAGTCAGTGGATCTTTGTGAGCACAGCCAAGGTCAAGGAAAGGAGCACCTACATGGATGCTACAGGATGGCAGAGTTATCTGCTATTTAAGCTACAGGATAGCGAGGCCACTTCATCTGCAGAAGGAGGGAGTATAAAGAGAGGAATCAGTCTAGAATCTAGGTAGCCATGAGAATAAATAAGAATAAATAAAGCAAAAAATGTCTCCCAAATCTCTTGGATCTAGGTAGTTTTCTTTTTTCTCTTTTTTTTTTTTTTTTTGTTTTGTTTTTTGTTTTTCGAGACAGGGTTTCTCCGTGGCTTTGGAGCCTGTCCTGGAACTAGCTCTGTAGGGTAGGTCTCAAACTCACAGAGATCCGCCTGCCTCTGCCTCCCGAGTGCTGGGATTAAAGGCATGCGCCACCACCGCCCGGCTCTAGGTAGTTTTCTGCCCAGCGTTGCTGAGATCTTGATGCAGTTTGTGGCAGAAACATGGTAGCCCATAAAAGCTTATACACACACATAAAGGGAATCCTTCTTCAAAGTTGGGGTAACTACTAACATACCAGAACCACTGTCAATGATCTTTGCCCAAGGAGGCACGAGTTGAATCCTCAGACTCAGTTCCCTTGGGATTGGCTAAGGTGTTTTCATATGGTTGCACACAAACCTATTTATCAGGCATGCTACGTTATGAACACTCATTCAGATTTCGTATCCGCTCATGGAAAAAGCTCATGAGTGGCCTCCCTCTGTGACAAGGAGATGGTCAGATGTTGTGTAGGATATGAGAAGAGACTCCTTCTCAGCATCTGACAGACTCACTTTCTTCTGGTGAGCCTGGCTTTCCTGGCTTCTACAGTGGTTAGTTAGTGGCGTCCAGACTTTGGCCTACTGAAACACCTTTCCTGCATTCTGTTTCATCGTCGGGTCATTTTCAAAGCGCTCCACTTTCAACCAAAGCTTTTTTTTTTTCACTCTTTTCACCTTAGCGTCCATTTTTCTTCTCTTGAGGATTGTATATCCAATCTTAAATTTTCAAACAAAACAAAACAAAACAAAACCCCCAAATTTATCTCCACTAAAGAGTCTAGAAACATGGTTGTGGGTAAAGAAGGATTTTATATCTGGATTAAACTTCCAGGATCCAAATTTTGACAGACAGAAGTAGCCATTGAGGCTGCAGCCCATGTGTCCATATGTCCTTCCAGTGTCCTGGCATGGAACCACATCAAGTAAACACACAAATCAAAGTACTTATAAAAAAAAAAAACTATTATTTGCCTAATGTGCGCTAGTCACTCTGAAAGGAATTGAGGTTCTTCACACTGCACTTCCAACTTCCCCTCTTCCATTTTTTTTCTCATATTTCTTTACGCCTATGCTTCCTGTCTCTGCCAGTTCTCGTGATGGCTTCTCCTATTTCCTCATTGCTTCCTGTCTCTGCCAGCTCTCGTGATGGCTTCTTCTATTTCCTCATCACTTTCCTCTTCTCTAGTCTTGGCCCAGGAGACACAGCAGGTCAAGCATCCTGTCATCTCCTCTGCTCTATGATGCACTTTACTGGTTCTGGACAACATACATCAAAGACAGATGTCATCATCTTTTTTGTCCTTTGACTCAGGCTGCCAAACATCCCTGGGGGGAGAGCTAGTACCAAATCTCAACTCTCTTCTCAATGCCTATTAGGAATACTACCCCAAGTATTCTGTTACAGAAACTCATTCGTCATTTGTGAGGACTTGGTTGGAAAAAGAACTAATATAAGCTAAGTGAGTGAAAAGAATGGGATCTGTGCCTCCAGTAATCATCTACCAAACAAACATTCTGAACTATCTATCAGCACATTCTGAACACTTTAAATATATGATATCACGGTTCATTATTAAATAATCCTATGTGTAGGAATTCTAGAACTCCATACTGACCCAAAGAGGGTATATTCTAAGAATCCTGATAGATATCTGGAATCTTTGACAGTATTGAACTTTGGATAGGCTGTGGTTTGCCCCATACATACTTGCATTTAAGTTTAAGTTAAAGACTAGGAACAATATGAAACTAACCATAAATTACTATAGTTATTAGTAACTTCAGCATATGATTCTTTTTCCTTTCATTATTATGTCCATAACCTCCATCTTTACACCTAAAGGAAACACTTAACTCCTTCTTGTTGGCAAATATGGATCCCCAGCATTTCTTCTCTCTTTATGGAATTATTAATACATAAAATAAAGATTACTGTTACTGGGATAACTCAAGACCTAATCTGATATCTGAGACAGTTAATGCATGGCCTGCAATCAGGGAGTGTATACGATACGGACATGCGGGATGGAAGGAGACTCACACACTAGGAAGGATGAAGCAGGCAAGAAATTTCAGCATCTCACTCAGGAAAGCAAACAGGATTTAAAACTCATGAATTGCTTGTTTCCGAGAACTTCACTCAGTATTTCATGCAGTTGAGGGTGGATTAACCGAACATGTGAAAAGTTAAACTCTGTCTACAGGGTGGTTATCATGTGCTTTGGATAAAGAAATCGACTTTCAAAAATTAAATGACTTACCCCAAGATCATTAATTAATAAGTTTTGAATGCACAATGCTTTCAACTAGTATGTTGTGGTAACTATTCTTACCACTTTTAACACAGGCACACACATACAAAACACAGACACACATACAGATACACACAGAGACAGACAGATACACAATCACACAGACACACATAAAGACACACACAGACACAGAGATACAGAGACAGAGACACATACAGACATACATAGACACACACACACAAACATACAGACATAAGCACAGAGAGAAACAGACACACATAGGCACACAAACACACAGAGACACAGATACACTCACACAGACACACACACACAGACACAGAGATACAGAGACAGAGACACATACAGACATACATAGACACACACACACAAACATACAGACATAAGCACAGAGAGAAACAGACACACATAGGCACACAAACACACAGAGACACAGATACACTCACACAGACACACACACACAGACACAGAGATACAGAGACAGAGACACATACAGACATACATAGACACACACACACAAACATACAGACATAAGCACAGAGAGAAACAGACACACATAGGCACACAAACACACAGAGACACAGATACACTCACACAGACACACACACACAGACACAGAGATACAGAGACAGAGACACATACAGACATACATAGACACACACACACAAACATACAGACATAAGCACAGAGAGAAACAGACACACATAGGCACACAAACACACAGAGACACAGATACACTCACACAGACACACACACACAGACACAGAGATACAGAGACAGAGACACATACAGACATACATAGACACACACACACAAACATACAGACATAAGCACAGAGAGAAACAGACACACATAGGCACACAAACACACAGAGACACAGATACACTCACACAGACACACACACACAGACACAGAGATACAGAGACAGAGACACATACAGACATACATAGACACACACACACAAACATACAGACATAAGCACAGAGAGAAACAGACACACATAGGCACACAAACACACAGAGACACAGATACACTCACACAGACACACACACACAGACACAGAGATACAGAGACAGAGACACATACAGACATACATAGACACACACACACAAACATACAGACATAAGCACAGAGAGAAACAGACACACATAGGCACACAAACACACAGAGACACAGATACACTCACACAGACACACACACACAGACACAGAGATACAGAGACAGAGACACATACAGACATACATAGACACACACACACAAACATACAGACATAAGCACAGAGAGAAACAGACACACATAGGCACACAAACACACAGAGACACAGATACACTCACACAGACACACACACACAGACACAGAGATACAGAGACAGAGACACATACAGACATACATAGACACACACACACAAACATACAGACATAAGCACAGAGAGAAACAGACACACATAGGCACACAAACACACAGAGACACAGATACACTCACACAGACACACACACACAGACACAGAGATACAGAGACAGAGACACATACAGACATACATAGACACACACACACAAACATACAGACATAAGCACAGAGAGAAACAGACACACATAGGCACACAAACACACAGAGACACAGATACACTCACACAGACACACACACACAGACACAGAGATACAGAGACAGAGACACATACAGACATACATAGACACACACACACAAACATACAGACATAAGCACAGAGAGAAACAGACACACATAGGCACACAAACACACAGAGACACAGATACACTCACACAGACACACACACACAGACACAGAGATACAGAGACAGAGACACATACAGACATACATAGACACACACACACAAACATACAGACATAAGCACAGAGAGAAACAGACACACATAGGCACACAAACACACAGAGACACAGATACACTCACACAGACACACACACACAGACACAGAGATACAGAGACAGAGACACATACAGACATACATAGACACACACACACAAACATACAGACATAAGCACAGAGAGAAACAGACACACATAGGCACACAAACACACAGAGACACAGATACACTCACACAGACACACACACACAGACACAGAGATACAGAGACAGAGACACATACAGACATACATAGACACACACACACAAACATACAGACATAAGCACAGAGAGAAACAGACACACATAGGCACACAAACACACAGAGACACAGATACACTCACACAGACACACACACACAGACACAGAGATACAGAGACAGAGACACATACAGACATACATAGACACACACACACAAACATACAGACATAAGCACAGAGAGAAACAGACACACATAGGCACACAAACACACAGAGACACAGATACACTCACACAGACACACACACACAGACACAGAGATACAGAGACAGAGACACATACAGACATACATAGACACACACACACAAACATACAGACATAAGCACAGAGAGAAACAGACACACATAGGCACACAAACACACAGAGACACAGATACACTCACACAGACACACACACACAGACACAGAGATACAGAGACAGAGACACATACAGACATACATAGACACACACACACAAACA